GGACTAAAGGTGCCCATACACTTTACAACCATCGCAAGACCTTAGTCTTGCGATGGTTGTAAAGTAATTAAAACAAACGTACGATCTGCCTATCTTGGACAGGCAGATCGTACTTGCGATCTTCGCAAGCCCGACCCCCTGAGGGGCGGGCTTTCGATGACCGCAATGCTGAACGGGCGGTGTGCGATGATCTTACGATCATGCTAAAAACCAGCCGAAAATGGTACGTTTCTCGGCTGATTTTCTAGCATGCTCCTTAGACAAAAGACATGCGACCGTACAGTAGAAACAATCGCACGCCTTCCATACACCTTGCGATTATCGTACGATTGCGGGATTTCCCGCGATTATCGGGCGATAAACGCACAGTGTATGGGCACCCTAACAGCGTTCGGCTCACTTCTGCTCTGTTATTCACTCGGGGTGCCTTCGGCAGCTCAGCGAATATTCCTCTCAGTCTCGTCATATCTTCCATTGCTGAAGCTTCTCCCCCAGGTCAGGACGCCCTGGTTTCTTTTTTTTTGCTTGGTGGGCCTCTCACAACGCCGGTCTGCAGATTTTGGGAAATGATCGACCTCTGAGATAAAATGTTTTCATTCTGACATATTTCGATCAGATGAATTAGAAAACAGGTGATGAAGGTTCTGGTTGGTTGGCTAAAGTTTTCAAGATGTTTCACAATAAAAGATTTATACACAGGCGAGTATATTTGCCTACAAGGGAGGGAGGAGTCTGATGATCCTGATGACTCGTAACTTCTGGACAAAGTGCGGTAGAGCAATAAATGTTACCACATGGAGGTGCATACATTTATCTTCACTTTGAGACTAAAGTATATGACCTGTCATTTATTGTTCTTTTATTGCAAGTTACATTGGTTCTCGGTCAGATCTACGCATCATACTGTTACATCTGGTGGCTTGTGAACGTGTCATTGCCTAACATTTCCAAGGAACGGTTGCGCGATATCTTCCCTCAGAAGCCAAGACGCCTCGAAACTGTGTAAACAACGCAGATAATTTAGCTACTTTCATTTTCAAGGCTTTCTCCTTGTAGACCAGGGTCATTTTCATGTTGTATACTCCGTACTGTCCTCCACTGGAATGAAAAGATCTCAATGTCTTCATGACCTGAGCAATGTTACCTCGAGGGAACATTACTGATCCCTGCAGCTGAGATACGATCTAACTTCCCTTACTCGAGCACATCCTCCTCCTTATAAGCTCACCCTTTTTGAAAACAGACGTCGCTCTGATCCCTATGCACAGGGCATGATATCTTTGATCGTCTCATTTATACTTTGTTGCATATAAACCTTTGAAAAAATCCAGTGGAAGCTCTCCTTAAAAGAGAACTATGAGGTCAGTGTTTTTCCCCATTTTTCCCCCCAGGGTCACGGGAGGACATAAACTAGCGTCCTCCTGTCACCCAAAGCTCAGTATATAGCGTGCTACAGCTCGCGGTATACTGAGACCGCCGCAGCCGGGACGGATCCCGACATTACTGTCGAGATCCACCCAGCTGCGTAATTGACAGCGTGCTCAGCCTATCTAGAGGCAGCTGTGCCCGCCCCCTCCCTCGTCCGTTCCGCCAGTCAGTGCTGGAGGATCAGACATGGGAGGGGGGAATCCCTGCGGGGAGCCGTGAGTGAGTCACGGCTCTCTGCAGGGACAGGATCGAGAAGTGAGCGAGCGACGGTATGTGTTCGCTCACTTCCTGATCTATTGAGCCGACCTGTGACAGTCTCATTGTCACACGTCGGCTCGAACTATGAGGCTGAGTGATTTTCACTCGCCTAATAATTCTCCTTTAACAAACCAGTCTCTACTCTGCCCATGCCTGGTGTTCTCCGACCCTTAGTTTTGAGGTAGTTAAGAATAGACTCTGCGGTATGATGATTAATGAGAAATTTACTGCAATTCTGGCCGATACTCATAAGAAACTCCTCACCATCTGTCATCCATGGATCTCATACGCTCACCTTTCCAGGTTTGATCCATCCTTGCTGGATCTTTTTACTGCTTGGATCTTCCCAGGAATTTGTCTCTTTCTTTCCTCTTCTCTCCGTTCTTTTCCTATTCCCCTACCCTAGATTTCTTAATCCTGACTTATCTTGGCTTTATTTCTTTCTCATTATTATACAGGATTTATATAACGCCAACAGTTTGCGCAGCGCTTTAAAAGGAGAACTATGGGGTTAAGGCTTTTCCCCATAGTTCTCCTTAAGGTAACGGGAGGACACAAACTAGCGTCCTCCCGTCACCCTAGGCTCAGTATACCGCGAGCTGTAGCCCAGCGCTGGCGGATCGGAGAGGTGGGAATCCAGCCCCTCCCCTGTCACGGCAGAGAGCCGTGACAGGATTGAGAGGTGAGCGAACGCCGGTATGTGTTCGCTCACCTCCCGATCTACTGAGCCGACCTGTGACAGTCTCATGGTCACAGGTCGGCTAGAACTATGAGGTGAGTGAAAAGCACCCCCCTCATAGTTCTCCTTTAACATATAAAGAAGATATTACAATCACAATACAATTCAAGACAAGATGGTAAGGAGGGCCCTGCCCCTGAGGGCTTACAATCTAAAAGGGAGGGACCAGTGATACATGAGGAGGTAGCTGTGTGGGGATGAATTGTCTGAGAATGCGATGGTTGAGCGGTTAGGTTGAGGTGGGATAGGCTTCCCTGAATAGATGAGTCTTAAGGGATCGCCTAAAGGCAGTCAAGGTGGGAGATAGACGGACAGGTTGGGGTAAAGAGTTCCAGAGGATGGGAGAGACTCTAGAGAAGTCCTGGAGGCGAGCATGGGAGGAGTTGACGAGGGAGCTGGAAAGCAGGAGGTCTTTGGAAGAGCGGAGGGGACGGTTAGGGTGATACTTTAAGACAAGGTTGGAGATGTATCCGGGGGCGGAGTTGTGGATGGCTTTATAAGTGGTTGTTAATATTTTGAATTTTATTCTTTGGGCTATTGGAAGCCAGTGCAGGGATTGGCAGAGGAGGGAGAGGGATGGAAGCCAGTGCAGGGATTGGCAGAGGATGGAGAGGGATGGATGCCAGTGCAGGGATTGGCAGAGGGGGGTTGCAGACACTGAGCGGTTGGTTAGGTGAATGAGTCTAGCAGCAGCATTCATGATAGTCTGAAGGGGGGAGGAGCCTGTGTAGAGGTCGGCCAATGAGGTGGGAGCTGCAATAGTCAAGACGAGAGATAACAAGGGAGTGGATGAGTAGTTTAGCGGGTTCATTGGTGAGGAAGGGGCGTATTTTGGAGATGTTGCGAAGGTGAAGGCGGCAGGATTTGGATAGCGATTGGATGTGGAGAAGAAAGGTGAGGTCTGAGTCAAGGTCCTTGGCATGGGGGGAGGGGTGGATAGTTGTGTTATCAATCTTAAGGGAAAAGTTGGGGAAAGGTGCACGGGCGGGATCATCTTTTTTCTCTCCCTATACTCTCATCTCCTTTTTTCTCTTTACTTAGTTCCTCTCTTCATTTCTTTTTATGAGGGGAACTAGGTTATAGCGTGTTGCTAACTCTTATTGCTCTTGAATGTGACAATGGTCAGTTCTTCTGATCTTTGTATCTAGTAAAGATGCCGAGTTAGAACCTGTACAAGGTGTCATGGCCTGTGTGTCTTACTACTAATGACATTATACCTTTACTCTTTATTATGTACATTCGGTATACTGTACCGTTACTGCATTTTTCACTATCTTTCCTGCTCGTTCTCAATAAAACGTTTTTGAAAGAAACTGGCCCTGGCTGTCCCCTTTTCTTCCAAATGTTCATGTGCGAGGCCACTCTGGTCTCAGACATGCCCTCTCGAGTCTCTGCTCTGGGGGAATGACCCAGTCGTCCCAGAAGGCAGCTGGCCACTTTGGCTCTAGTTCCTGCCAAAGTTCACAAAGCAGCAGCCAGCCAAGTCCTGGGAAGAAGTCAGAACTAGGGCGGCTGCAAGAACAAATCGATTAAATCGAGAATAATCGATTGTGAGAATAGTTGGCAACTATTGTCATTATCAGTTGGAGGTGGGTGGGAGGAGGAGGAAGGGGAGAGAGGGAGGGGGGAGAGAGAGATTTTTTTTTAATGCAACAAAGCGATTCATCAAAAAAAAACAATCGGGCAACTAATCGATTATGAAAATAATCGTTAGCTGCAGCCCTAGTCAGAACAATAAAGAATGGCACTGCCCATGGGCTCCACTAGATTCTCTTTGCCATTGTCATTCCAGGCAGAGACACACCACAGGTGGGGTCCTTGCGGAGGAGAGAGCTGCCTACACTGACTTGCATGATCTCCCAGCATGGGAAACATCAGAATGCAGAGAAGGATTTGTGCATAGCATTTGGATGTAATAAAAAGCCTGCATAAGACCAATGGACTGGGATCTGAACCTCGCAGCTGCTATTTACTTGCATGTGAATGATTTGTTATGCTGCGGGACTATTGTATTTTGAATCCTCAGATTTTTAGATGATACCAGCTGATGTATGATCATTATAAATGTGAACAAATGATACAGAAAATATGAAAAGGTAGTTGAAGACCCCAACTATCTCTGCTCACAGGAAAGACGTGGTACGTTGCTATGACCCATTGACCTATAGCAGCAGCGGTTGGGTATTTCTTTTTTAATAATTGAAATGTTTATGAGGTCTTGTTAAAAAACAGCTCAGCAAAGCTTTATCCTGTATGGGGAGATCTGATCTTTCTCATGTGCAAAACCAAAAGCAACTCCTATGCAGAGACCTTTCTTGGTGTCAGGAATGAGACTTGTTTGGCTATAAAGGTCACTTTATTGAGGTGTATTAATAAAAGGGGAAGAGACTTGGAAATCCAAGCTTCCGCCGTGCCGTAAAACATGTTTGGCTGAGATGATCTCTTCCTGAGTGCGTGGGTGTAGCTCATACCACACAGTTCTCGAGGTCTGAAGATCCCGGTCATCTCCCAACAACTCAAAGTGGTTTCTGAAGATCCTCGTGTTGCACTCGCATCTCTCCAGCTAAGTGGTTTCTGACATCAAAGCCGGTCTCTCGGAACCTAGAGCTTTTTAAGTGTGCACAAACCTGGCATTAGATAGCACCTGAACATATTGGACCCTCTGAACCTCTCGCAGAGAAAATCTCCATATCTGCCACATGACCTTCCTGTAAACCCGGAGGAATAATAGTTCACCTTAACTCCATGACGGGTCATACCCTGCCCAGTCTTTAGGGGGAGCCAGAAACACTCTTCTCCCCCTATGTGTGAAAGTTACAACACCTTTATAGGCAACTCGAGCCACACCAGACTTCAGGTCATCCATAACGCCAAAGGACCTGGCCATGGCCTTAAAAGTGTCTCTAGTTGAGTATTCCACCCTCACCGTCCTTCCTCCGGGCACTTGCCCTTGAAGCACCTCTTCTGCGCGGGCTTTGGGTGCGTCGTAAACCTGCCCCAGAAACCAGGGGTCGTATTTCTCTTTTAGAAGATATGAAAGATCTATTTTTGTAAAGGACACCGGGTCCTGGTTCAGTTTGATGAACCTCAGATGCTGGTCAAAAAACTGGCCCTGGCTAACCCCTTTTCTTCCAAATGTCCGAGTGCGAGGCAGCTCTGGTCTCAGACATGCCCTCTCGAGTCTCTGCTCTGGGCGCCTGACCCAGTCGTCCCAGAAGGCAGCTGGCCACTTTGGCTCTAGTTCCTCCCAAAGTTCCCGAAGCAGCAGCCAGCCAAGTCCTGGGAAGAAGTCGGAACGATGGAGAATGGCACTGCTCTTGGGCTCCACTAGATTTTCCTTGCCGTTGTCATTCCAGGCAGAGACGCACCACAAGCTGGGGTCCTTGCGGAGGAGAGAATGGGTGGCTAAGAAGTATTCATAAAAGTCTGGAGCTACTTCCAAATCGTCTTCTACTACGATGGCTGACTTGTAACCCAGCACTCTGAAGATCTAAGTGGAGAAGAACACGTTAATTATTATTATTATACAGGATTTATAAAGCGCCAATAGCTTACAATCTAAAGGGAGGGGCCAGTGATACATGAGGAGGTAGCTGTGTATGAATGGATTGTTTGAGAATGTGATAGTGATAATCTAAAACATTCACCTGTACAAAGCATGAGAAACCTATAGGAAGGCCCATGGATGAGGTACAACATATGTTTCTGGACCCTCAATGTTTATATAATGCCAGGAAACAATTCCCGGCGCCTCCACGTGCAATATCGGCCAGTTGAAATGGTAACGAACACACTGAAGAGGCAGCTCCCACAGGTCAAAGGACCTTCAATCTGAGAGACAAAAAAGAAAAAGGAGCGCCTCCATAGTGCAAAACGAATTTTAATGATAAAAACGCACAACTGTATTGTGCTTAGAAGGAGTCGGTAGTAAAAAGCCATGTAGGAAACAATGGGATGTCAAATCATCTAGCAGCAGAAGTCTGAAAAGATGTGCAGTCCACTGCCCCTGTGTGGTCTTGGTTTACATGTTTCTGGGGCACGCCCCCTTCCTCAGAAGCCCCCTTCCTTTTCAGACTTCCGCTGCCAGATGATTTGACATCCCATGCCTTTTTACTACCGACTCCTTGTAAGTACAATACAGTTGTGCGTTTTTATCATTAAAATTCGTTTTACACTATGGAGGCGCTCCTTTTTTTTGTTGTCTCTCGGCTTATATAATGCATGCAATGTGAACGTAATAAGCTTAAAGGCCACAAGGGGCAAAGCAACAGGTTCCCACATCTCTGCCATTCCACAGTTCCACGACTTGCACAGGGCTGAGGGGTCACTACCTCTCCATTTATAACAGCACTGTGTGCCTAAACGGCCAGTCACCAGCTCTGTCATGAGAGAGGAATGGGAGAAAGTAACATGTTCCCCATACCTGGAATTACCAAATCTTTCCCTTCACTGCCAGTAGCAGGAGGGAGTGTCGGGGGGAGAAGGAAAGGTATGTAAAGTTGGCAAGGGTGGCAGTATACCATACCTATAACAACCAGAAATCACATTGGCATAGCAGTCTGCTCACTCTACTTTAATTTCCATTTGGATGGAAATATTAAAAGTTTATTATTATTATTATTATTGGGGACCGATCAACAAACGACTCATAAGAGTCCTCATCATAAAACAATTTGTCACAGCATCCTCCGCTGAATCACGTGAATTTTCTGGTGGTGTGGCAAAAGCAGGTATTGCAAATTCAGATATAGATGGAAATGTTACCTTTGTAAACATTATAATTAAACACACTTGAAGGACATATAAGGGAGCGGTTTTATCTACCAAAGGATTTTTATTTCATCCAGACCTGCAATTTACACAGTCCGCTGGAATGAAGACCTGACTTTTCTCTTCTGCAGTAAAGATAGGTCACCTACCAGCCCCCAGCCTGTGATTGGACTAAGCAGCAGCTCATCCCTCTGACATCCTGCTCATGTGATCACATTCTTTGTCAGCACATGTGTATGTAGCACACGTGAGTGGCTCCTATTTCTGCCCCTCCCACCTGCTCGGGAGTGATGCTATTGATTACTGCTTTGGGGAAATATTAGGGCTCTAAACAGACCCCTGATATTTCTCTTTTAAAATAGAAAAAGAGATCGCGTCCTCAATCTCTTTTTCTGCATTGCTGTTATAAATGAAGAGGAATTCTCTGTACTGAGTGTTCCTGTTCATTCATAACTTGTGGAGTATGTTTACTATAACCACAGTCATGAATGAACAGGAAGTGATGTAGATCACGTCCTATTCATTCATAATTGAGGATACAGTCAACATACTATGTCCTCAATTATTTAAAAACACTCAGTGATCACTGACTGCTTGTCCTCGCTCTCTATCCTGGATCAGCTGTCACAGTGGAGCTCAACCTCCTGTCACAGCGCTGGCTGTCTCCTCCCACACACACCACTCTCCCGATTTGTGACAGGAGGCTGAGCGGTGCGGGGAAGAGAGACGCCGGCCGCTCACAGCGCTCTCCTACCGCAGCGCTCGGTCGCCTGTGACAGTTTCTCTCCTCCCCGCTGGGACATAGAGCAGCGCCCAGCGGGGAGGAGAGAAAGAATGGATGGACTGCTATTTCGGCCCAAAAATTCAATTCTCGGCCGATATATATCGGTGCATCCCTAGTGTTAACATAACTTTTTGGCAAGGCGAACAGGTTCTCCGATCACACCTACCTGGTTGAGCGCCCATCGATAGTGTCTGGAAATCTTATAGTAGCCTTGAAACTTCCTATGTTCTGGTGGAGCGGGCACCTCAGTCAGGTCAGGCTGATTAATATGGGTAATGGCATCTCCATACGAGTCAATGACCCTGGCCGTCTCAGCATGGCCGCAATCTTGGCTAACGATGATGGGAAACTGCTCCGCCGAGGGACGGTATTTAAGCAGAGAGTCCAAACATTTTCTGACCGAGGGCCGGTCGCATGCCACTACGAGGATTGGAATGACTACCGATTGAGGGTCACTGGCCAAGGGTGTTGGAGAAGGAATGGAAGCGTTAGAAAGTCTCTGGGGTAATTCGGGGCCACGTGCAGCATTGGGAGGAGCTGGCTGGCGTTTAAGAAGACCGCTGTAATGGTGGATTTGTTGGAGGAGACTCTTCTGCTTCTCCAACTCCGCTTCGGCTTCTTCTGCCAGTCGAATGACGTGCGCCGTAAGGTCCGTGGCATCGGGACCCTTTGGTCGGCTCATGAGGTAGAGGAGGAGAATGGCATTCCATGAGATAAAGAGGGCCGCCCCCCAGGCCGCCACGCTAACCTTGCGCGGCATTCCCCTGGGGGGTCCCAGATAAGTTCGGGACCCTCTGAACAAGAGAGCTTGCAAAGTTCAAGACGGAAAGGCGAGGTCTTATTCTCAGCAGCTCAGATAACACGTCGGACCTTCAAACTGCATCAAAAACACAGCATTTCTTTAGGCAACACCGGCTGGTGCAACATCAGATTTCCAAGTCTTCTTTGGCCAGAAAATGTTTATCCTTCGCACACCTGGTGAGAAACATAAAATTCAGTCCATTAGTTCACGAGTCCACAAGTAATACGTTTTAATAAAAACACAAAAAATACGGAATTGTATCTAAAGCCAAAACATTTTTTTGTGCAGTTCTACAGTGCTGACGGCTTCGAACTTCTATCGGGTTTTTATTGCCGTCTATAACACTGCTGGGAAGATTCACCCTCCCTAGTTGTCCTGAGGACCACAGTCACAGGGACCGAAAGTAATGGGGAAAACCCAACATTTGGAGTTGTATTTTGTTTCAGTGTCTTAGAGGGGATTTACCCCTTATTCTGGCGATATTTCCTCCCATCCCTGTTGTACTTCTGGGAAAGGAAGTTAAGGGAATCCGGTAAGAGAGAGGAAGTCCAAACTACTGGAAGAAATCACCGAGAAGTGGCAGGATCAAGTAAGAACGAGGAAGTCCAAGCTACCAATCACCAGGAACTGGTAGGATCAGCTAGGAATGAAGAAGTCCAAGCTACTATTAGTATCAAACAGGCAAGAGGAAGTCCAAGCTACTGGCAGGATCACCAGCTATTTAAAAGGAGGAGAACTATGAGGTGATTTTCACTCACCTCATAGTTCTAGTCGACCTGTGACAATGAGACTGTCCCACGTCGGCTCAATAGATCGGGAGGTGCGGGAACACATACCGTCGCTCGCTCACTTCTCGATCCTGTCCCTGCAGAGAGCCGTGACTGTCACGGCTCCCTGCAGGGATTTCCCCCTCCCCTTTCTGATCCTCCAGCGCTGACTGGCGGAACGGACGGGGTAGGGTGCGGGCACAGCTGGCCCTGCCTCTAGATAGGCAGAGCCAGCTGTCAATCAAGCAGCTGGGTGGATCTCGACAGTAATGTCGGGATCCGTCCTGGCAGTCTCAGTATACATTGAGCTGTATACCGAGCTTTGGGTCACGGAAGGACGCTAGTATATGTCCTCCCGTGACCCTTAGGAGTACTATGGGGAAAAAGCACTGACCCCATAGTTCTCCTTTAATATTACCTAAAACAGCAAAATAAGAGCACAGTGGAACACACACTTATTTGGCATTATTTAACCCCTTTGTGACAGTGTACGTCCCGGCACTTTGTGCCTATATGACTAGCCACGTACGTGACGAGTGATATCAGGCTTTGTAATGCTGGTAACAGCTGATTCTCAGCAGTTGCCAGTCATTAATGGATGGGTCAGTATTGAGACATTCATTAATGAAAGAATGAAGCAGTTACATTAAAATATGGGACCGCAATTTGCGATCCCGTATTTGACAGCTGAAAATAGCAGAGATGTAGCAGTGACTCACCTCTCTGCTATTTGTTTTGACAGTTCGAGAGCCCGATGTTTAGAACATTTCACTCAAAAGATACAATGTATATCTTTTGAGTGAAATGTATCAGTTCTGATAGTCTAGGCACCATCAAAGAGCTAAGCCTTTACTGCCGTGGAAGAATAACACAGCAAAAATGTAAAAAGTGTGTCAGTCATTTATGAACAGAACCTGAAAACTAGCTCAGTCATGAAGGGGTTAATAAAAAATTAAAAAAAGCATTTTGGGTTTACCAGAACTTTACTACTTACAGACTCTGCCATCCACACCTCTGTTCTACAGTGGCTCAAAACCTTCAGTATTTGACACTTCCAGGAGTGTCAGAAACCTGGTCCTCTCTTACATTCTGTAGGTTCTATCGCTGACCCTTATGGCACTGCTGTGTCCTGTAGTCACCAAGGGGGCTGGAGAAAGCACCCAGAAAGGGTAGAAGAGAACCTGGACCCTGAGGATCAGCAGTGTGGAAGGCAGGAGGGGTAGCGGGAAGGTATTTACCCTTTTCATTGCAGGGAGGACTTGAATTTTGAGTTTCCAAAAAGTGACAGTGACTTTAAGGTATCCTGCCCCCATACTGCGAGTAGGGAAAGGGCTGTTGGGGATCGGAGGGGACACAGACCAAAGCTTGCCAGAGGCACCCAGCAGGGAGGAGAGAAGCTGGGGATGCGCCACATTTTTGGCACTATCGGCATTTTGACATAATTTAGATTTTAATTACTAAAGAATCTGCTTTTATTTATTGCAATGGTTTATCCTTTGTTGTAGCGGCTTTCATCCTTTGGTCACTTTGAGTGTTTTTGGCTAGTGCCAGGCTATTTTTAGAAATGACCCTCAGTCACCCCGAGCATGACGTACTACGAGCCTGAAGATCCAAACACCAAAAGCACGCAGACGCAGCAAAAGAATGTAAATTGATTAGGAACAAAAAAATCTGCAAGGAAAGAAAACAAAGCGCGG